TGTTTCCAAACACAAAGCAATTACATAAAAACGGAAAGCAAAATGCATTGCAAAACTACTCGACTTCTCCGCTACACTTGACACTGCTTCAATATTTATCGCTGTTATGTGGCTCCATGGATCCCTCAATTGTGTTTTCCAATGCACAAACTTACATACATATGTACGTAGTATGTATTTGTACACATAGGTATACACTTGGACGCATAGATATACCTACATAGCTAGATCCTGTGCATTTGCTTCCGAGTTTGGATTTGCATTTCTTTCAATATACATATATCTACATTAGGGCGGGTCAATTTTTTTACTATGCGCATATAGCATTTGTGTAACTCCAAAGAAATTTGCCTAAAAAACCATGGGTCTAAAATAAATTTTGAGTTTGCCAAATTGCGAAAATAGGTTTCAAAGAAAATGTGAAAATTTTCATTGTTGCACCCTCTGGTGGAAGTTTTAGGAAAAATATTCGTGCAGAATTGGATTCCTCATACCAAAAAACCTCTTGAAGCATGTTTTTTCTTTTAATTTAAGCACTTATTTACAACACTACAGCAAAATGCTAAGACACCTGTTTTCGCAATTTGGCAAACTCCAAATAGATTTTGGATCCATGGTTTCTTCGGCAAATTTGCTTAGAATTACACGGAGAATCCTTCTGTGCTAAATATATACGCATATTCGAAAAAATCTCCCATACAAATTGACCCGCTCTAATGTATATATATATGCATACAGCGTACCACAAAAGTCTGCGTACAGAGAATTTTTTACAATTTATGCAAAGTTTTTTACTTTTGTTTCCTTTCGCTAATTTTTTATAAAAACATAGTTCGCGCTACAACAAAAAAAAACATAAAAATAAAATTTCTTCACTTTGTGCAAAACTCAGGAGGATTAAATAAATTTTTCAACTTTCAACTTCAGAATGTTTAGAAAAATTTTGATTATGTCATGCACTTTCTTCCATATAAAAAAAAAATTTCTAATATAAGTACTAAGTATGGAAGAAATTGTGTGGCGCCGTCACAAAAAAAAAATTATCAAAAATTAGCGGGAGTTTTTAGAAACTTTAAACTTGCACTTAAACACTAAAGTTAAATATACAACAAAGCAGCATAATTAATTAAAAAAAAGGTATTAAGGTGAAAGCTTTTATGCAAATTTATTTAATTTTCCTGAGTTTCGCAAAAAAATTTATGGTGTTTTTTATGTATTTTGTTGTAGTATAGCCCATATTTTTTACAAAAAATTTACGAGAAGAAATAAAAATAAAAAAATGTTGCATACATTGCGAAAAACTCCCTCTACATATATTTTTGTCGCACACTGTATTTCCTTCGTTTTTATATTTGTTTGTTTTAATTCGTATTGCTTATATTTTCCAATATTCCTATGTGGGTTAACTAGCGAATATGAGAATGATAAATGCGCCAGCGAAAAGGAATATCTAGCGGCCATAAACATACTTTCATCTGCATCTAACGACCACTTTTGTAACCTAACCGCCTTGCTTGGTTTTGAATATTGTTCGAGTTCTCTGACAAAAAGTGTTTGTTGGTTTTTGTGTGTGTTCTTACATACATACATATGTATATATGTGAATTTTTGCAAGTGTGTAGATCTTTAGGAAGTGTCAATATTTGTCAGTCTATTTGCATTAACAACGTCACTTTTCATTTATTCTATATGAAAGAATGGTCTATTACCACACACTTTCCAAAAAGCATATATATTTACAAACAGTGACTCAAACAAATAACCACCTATTGATTTTTTTTTAATATTCGTAATGGCTTTCGGGCTTCATTTTTTTTCTATAAAAATACCGTCCAGGCTTTAACCAAAAACATATAAATCACAGTTTCAAACTTAATACAAAATTTAGGAAAATTCAGCAAATGTTCATCAAAATTTCAACTTTTTTTTTTTGAATATTTAGAAAATTTTTGGGTATGCCGTTTTATAGCCCACAATTTACATTGTGAGACTGTTTTTGCGGTTTGTTTTACAATAGGTGGCGTTGATCTTTTGAAATTTTATTGCTACGCTCTCCCGCATTTTATTTCACAAGAAGTTCATACTTGTATAGAAAAAAGTGCAAAAATACATCCCCAAAAAAAAATATCAAAAACCAACGGTATTTTTTAGCCGGTTGAAACTTGCACTTCCTTAAACTAAAATTTTATGGGCTATAAAACTTCACTGTTGAATTTCCTAAATTTTGTATAAAGTTTGAAACTGTGACTTATAGCTGTTTGGTTAAAGCTGGACGGTATTTTTTATAAAAAATAACAAAAAAAATTTTGCTCGAAAAATATTACGAATACACATTAAAAAAAAACAACACGTAGTCATTTGTTTAAGTCGCTGTATATGAAACACGGCAATAGAAACAGGAAAATCCGTTTTTCTTAGATGTACAGTGCACTGACCATAAATAAATGCCAATATAATAGTTTTTGAGTTACTGACAACTATTTCCATGGCAAATCTTACAAAAATCAAAATGGCGAATTCGACGCAGCCTACATGTTTTCATGGAATGTAATAATTTCAAATTGTATGGTTTTTTTACGTCGCTGATTGAAAATTGCCGGTTCATTTGTTTATTTAATTTATTTTACTTCATTTCAAAAAAACCTTAGTAGAATAATTGCCATGAACTATAAGGCATATGCCCGGCTGCACCGACCAATTTTAAAATTTTCAGCCTGTTAGAATTTAAAATGACAAATTTTCCAAACAAAATTGTGGCAAGGGCAGCGCTCGTCCTTCTAATGTTGTTTTATAAAGCCTTGATACGAATCGGTGCAATTCGTTTATAGTCAATACACAATCACAACTCGCTCACCCAATTTCCGCGACTTCTCGTTGGACGGCATTTCCTGGATTGCAGTGCTGTCGGCCTTGTATT